AAAGTATATTTGAAGACAAATCTAACACCACTATACTCCCAACCCAAATGCAGTTTTCATCATGTCTATCATATTCCAAAGAATTCCAGCTAACATCCAGTATTTCCAAAGACAGCATATCCTTAGTCATGAGACCTACTTTGAAAAGGTCTTTTAATTTATTCTTTTGTAAGATAAGTGTCTCCAATCTAGCTAAAGTGTTGCAATTTTGAAAAACACTATCTGTGAAAACATTCTGGGTAAAGTTTAAAAACTTAAATGTGCTTGGTACCTGCGGACAAAGCATATGTACAAAAAATGTGTCTGATATGGTTAACATCATAATGTTCATCTCAGAAAACACTGTGTATAACGCTGTCTGTGAAAAAAGAAAAACTCTGTTTATAACATGTTCCATTTTCAATGCTTTCAATGTTGTTTTTTGATAAGTAAAGTCTTCTTCATCAATGCTTTCAACTATTGTCAAATTGTAAATATTGAGATATTCTATTGGTTTGGGCCAAAGGAATTGAAAAGCTCTAATCAAACATTTCCAAGTTGTTTCTACGTGGTTGAGGGTAAAGTTCAGTAAGTTTGGCCCTCTAGTGAGTTCTGTCAAAAATTTAAGTAAAACTTGACAGTTGTCATCATTCAATTTAATATTAGTCAGTTGTAAGCACCTTAAACTATTAACTGATATGTTCACTTGGACAGAGAAGAAGCTATCTGGGTGAAAAACAAGGTGAAGTTCCTTTGTATTCAGAATTTGAAGACTTTCTTTCTCATTTTCTTTCACATAATAACCTTCCAAATCCAGAAGGATGCAACTTAGATGCAAGTGAGCAATTGGCAGTAGATCTAATTGTTGGAACTTTGTAGCACTTAATCCCAAGAAATTCAGTTGAGTCAAGTTGCCAAATTCCTTGCAGATGGGCAGGGCATCAAAGTCATTGAATGAGAGGTCTAAATGCTTGAGACTCATGATGGGATGGCAGGACACCTTCTGCAAGCGATTGTGAGATAAATCCAAATATTCCAAATCCTGGTTGAACTTGAAAATACTAACATCAAGGCACTGAATTCTATTATGAGAAAGTCTCAAAACTTTCAGCCCTGAGAGAAAGCTGACGTTAGAGAGGTGAAGCTCAGATATGTAGTTTTGAGACAAATCTAAGACTTTGGTTTCTGGTGGCAGGTCTTTTGGAACATGAGTAAGGCCTAGTTTTGACATGTCTACCACAAATTCGCTTTCATCAGAGAACTGGATTATGGTTCCAAATATTAAAGTCACGATGTAAACAAAATGAAAGCTTCTGACAGTAGAGTCTTTGTCTTTGGTCATGGTGTTGAAGTGGCCATCCCTCGAAGGGTTGCTGCTGTTCTTCAGAACATCTTGATATGCATCCAAATTCTAGAAACATAATACACGTTAAGATGTGTAAAGATTGGATGATTGCTCTCAAACCTCGACTTACTAAACACAAAGTCTCAGTGAGTTCATCATTCACTACCTGAATCATTTCTGTCCCCATCATTTAATGTGTTCTTTTTTCCAGTTATACCAGTTGCTTGTGCCAGGAAAGGCAATAGAGATCTTGTTATTAAAGAACTGTGGTTGTGTGTTCTAACCTGGCTGGTGGCTCTCTGAGGGATCCACTCAGGACCTTGCCTTTGTTTCACCCAACTCAGAACTTCCTCAGGGCTGGACCAGCCTCCTGGGCAGTGTTTCAAAAACCTTTAAAGGCATATATACCAGTCACAGCTACTTGGAACAAAAGGTCACAAATGGGGCAGGCAACAGACAACCAAAAAGCCAGAGAAGGAAGAGGCTGGGAAAGGAGGAAAATGGGAGAAAAGGGCTTTGGAAAGCTCTGTATACCAGACAACCTAGAAGGTCACGCACATGCCCAGGGCTGGAGGCATGCTCACAGAAGACCTGAGCAAATCCCAGGCTTTCGCCTCTAGTTGATTTTTAGGCTCTGTGCAAGCAGAAAGGAGAGGCTAAGGCAGAGCTGTAAACAGTCTGGAGAAGCACAAAGTCAATCTGTAAAGATCAGAAATTTTGTTTTTTCTTTCGTTTTATTTTCTTCTCCAGATGTTTAAGAAAATCTCTGCCGAAAAAAATGCGACAATGAATATATGTATGTTTATGTATAACTGAAAAATTGTGCGCTACACTGGAAACTGACACAACATTGTAAAATGACTATAACTCAATAAAAAAATGTTAAAAAAAGAAAATCTCTGCTGAATCACTAGCTGACAACTAAGCCAATGGAACAGAATTCAATGGTCACACATAAGAAGGAATACAGTCTTTATAAATACAGTTTCAAAACATCACTAAACAAACAAACAGCCATAACCCATAGCAAGCAGCAACAACAAACGCTGGGAGAGAGGCGTATCCGAGTTACCACACTCTGATGTTTCCAGAGTCACCTCATTATCATATTCAAAATGTCTGCTTTACACAAAAGAACTATGAGGCATGCAAAGAAATTAGAAAGTATTTTCTATTCATAGAGAAAAAGAATAAAAAGAACAAAGAGAACTGACAACATCCAACTTCAAGTCTTACATAAAGCTACAGTAATTAAGACAGTGTGGTGTTGGTGTAAGAATGGACAGATAGATAGCTCAAAAATCGACCCACACAAATATAGTCAACTGACCTTTGACAAAGGAGCAAAGGCAATTTGGTGAAGAAAGGATAGTCCTTTTAACAAATGGTGCTGGAACAACTAGACGTTCCACACGCAATAAAAGTGAAGGTCTAACTCAAAATGGATCACAGATCTAAATGTAAAATACAGAACTATAAAACTTCTAGAGGCTGGTACAGGAGAAAATCTAGGTGACCGTGAACTTGACAATGACTTTTCTGACACAACATCAAAAGCACAATCCATGGAAGAAAAAATTGTTATGTTGGACTTCATTAAAATTAAAATTTTCTGCTTTGCAAAAGATACTCTTAGAAAAATGAAAAGACAAGCCACAGACTGGGAGAAAATATTTGCAGAACACATGTCTGATGAAGAATTTGTATCCAAAATATAGAAAGAACTCAGATACAAACTACTATATACAGAATAGATAAACAAGGTTCTACTGTATATCACAGGGAAGTATATTCAATAGCTTGTAAAAACCTGTAATGAAAATGTGTGTGTGTGTATATGTATGTATGTATATATATACATATATATATATGTATTAAACCGAATCACCAGAAATCAACAGAATATTGTAAATCAACTATACGTCAATAAAAAAAATGAAGAACTCGAACTCAATAAGAAAATAAACAACACAATTTTTAAATGGGCAAAA